TCGGTGACAGGTATGCGCTCACTTGTCGAACTGCGCTGCGTACCTGACGTCCGATTGCATCAACCACGCACAGGGAGGCAGACCTGTACTGGCCCGGTCCTGTGCATGGATCAACCTTGCACTTTCATTCAGATTCGATCTTGACACTGTCATTAGCACACGTTATTGTGGTTGCAGCTTGCTAGAACTAGTGCATTCTTAATCGTCGTCCAGATAATTTGGCATGATGACCAAGTGCAGGTTCTTGTGCTATTGATTCTTCCCGTGCTTTGTTCAGCTTCTCACCGCCGTTCCGGGGCTTCCGGCGACGTCCACTGGAAAGAAACAGTCAAACAGATGGGAGCTTTCAGGAATGTTGCCGTGGCCAATGCAGGCGGCAAGCGTTTACGTCGCCGAAAGGCCGGGCGGGCCGGCGAGCGAGCGCAATAATTTGGATGCTGCTCGACAGGAACTGGAGGATGTGTCACATGATGAAAACTAAAAAAAACATAAAAGGTCCTGCGATCTTGACAAAACAAGGAGATGCCGGTTGCTGCTGGAGACATTGGTCCGTTCGCTTGGCCGATAAGTCATGGTTGAAAGTGCTGTTAGCTAATTTGTTGTGAGAAAAAATATTGATCGTTGGTTAAAAAAAGTACGGCTTATAAGCCAAGCCAACAGAGCGATGATTCACACTTTTTTCCTCTTTGGACTCGGAATTTCGATGTGGCCTTTTGGCTGGTATTTGTTGGTTGGTTGATGAAAATAATGCCATTGCACGACGGCTTTTGCATGTACGAGTGGATTCGCGTGTATCTGATTCTGAACCAGAACATTCGATCAGCATCAGCGTTAGGTGTGTGAGTGACCGACCGTCTGAAACTCTGAATGGGGGCACACAAAAAGCGATGAAACAGAAGATGATGAACTGGATGGAAGGCGATTTGTAGCGTAATGGTGCCAAATACAAGAAAGGGGTACGATTCAGGTGTCGTCCACTTGTAGCTTTGCCAGATTGCTTGGTCCCATACTCCGATGAGCGATGAATCACATAACTCGTAAGACGTTACTGATTGCTCGTTTGGACTTTGGAGCATGAACACTGTAGCCAGATTTGGGCACTGTTCGCTTCGCTGAAAAAACAAGCCGAAACACTGCTCCGACTGATTTATTGTGAAAGAAAAACACTGTTTCGACTGAAAAAATAAGTTGAAAAAGACGGATTATAAGAAAAGCGAACAGGGCCCTTGGGTCAGTGACAATTTGAGTACTTTGCTCAAATTTTTGTTGACCGCGTTACTAGTTTTATTTGAGGAAAACAGGAGAGATTGTCCCCTACTGGAAATTTGTTTATAATAAAAGGAGTGCTTACAGGAGGTCACGAGACAAACAAAGAAAAAACAAAAGCCAAAAAGGATTACTAGTTCCTAACGTAGCAGTCCATATACACACTCATTGAGCTTAGCCGTTTTGAGAGCAATGGAAGATTCTGCATGAATCTGGGGCGTCTTAAATTTATCCATGTTAATTCTCATGAAACGCTTTATAAGTAAAAATAAATTCTAAAAATTAGACACATCTGGCACCTAATTACATGGACTCTAATAACCATTACATTTATTCTATTTTATATTAAAAAAAACTACCCAACTCTATATTTATGAAAAATGGATAAAGTAACCCTTACATTTATACATCTAAAGTTACTAACCTTTGCCATCATAAATATAATTTAAAACAACCTCCTAATTATCTATAGCTGCACTTTTAAACAACCCCTGAATTTATATATAAATCATAAAAGACAATGTAAAGTATCTTTTAATTTTGCATCTAAATTACTCACCTCTGTTGATATGAAAGATAATACAAATTAGCTCCTAAATTTACATCTAAATTATATGCATGTATCATTATGAATGAAACATAATATAAAATAACACCACTAGTTTGTATCTAAATTACCCCCCTATGTTGTTATACAAAAAGTAAAAAATAAACAAAAATACCCCTCAATTCAGATATATTGCTATGTGCTACTATGTAGATCAGGTAAACATACATATATTGAGAATGGTTGAGTGGGTTGTTAGTACAGACTCGTGGTAGGATCTTAATCTTATACATAGCTACATCGACAGTGAAATTGTGCATTCCAAAATCAGCTACTTTCGTGTAAGTATATATTTTATAGCACTTTAGAACCTGTTTTTTGCTTCATCTTTATACTTTCTCAAATGGGTAGTTGTTTCAGTGGAGATAAAAAAAAAGAGATTAGTTTTTATAGTAGTTTCAACCAAATTAACTTTTTCACGTTACATCTGAAAGCAGTTTTTTACCGTTCGTTCATAGCTGAACAAAGAGAGAACTCTGTGTCTATTTGCGGCGCTGCCAACGCTTTATTATTATTATATATCTCTGCGCAAACAATGCGGGTCAGTCAGGGGTGGCGTTGAGAGGAGAACGTTTAAGTTTGTTTGATTTATAAGCTATATTTTTTCAGTTAACAAATATTATTTTTTTCATATATCAAATCAGTTAATAACAATATAGTCATGGCTTATAGCCAAACGAGCCCAAAACGAACGGGGCGGAGATGAGGCCGAATGCGAGTCTGACGCGCACACGCAGCGGTTGGGCGCGGGGCCCAGTCCACGTGCCGCCTCGTCGGCGCGGCGTCACGCGGCGTGGCAGACACCCAGCTGACCCGAGTCCGCGCTGGTCGCCACCGCCCCACAGCACCCCGCACCCCGCACCGACCTGACGCCTGCCTGTCTGCCCGCCGTCCTGCCCTGCCTCGGCGTGCCGTGGTCCACTCCATCCTCCTCCGCCCCGACCCGACGCGCAGAGCTCAGATTCCGTCGCGGGGCGGGGGCGGGGGCGGCGCCAGGGGGACGCAGGCGCATGCATCAGGACACCCCACGGCCGCCGCCAGGATCATCCAGGGTCGACCAGGGACCGCTCGCTCGGACGACGTCACGAAACGCCTCTGCTGCTTTCGACTTTGCGTAGACGTAGACGCCTGCGCATTGCCTCCGCCGGCAAATAGGGGCAGGCAGCTAGTCTCACGCCGCGTCCCGCTTTGAGAAACCAGAACACCCGTCTCAACAACCACCCATGGAATGGATCTCCTACACGCCGGAAAGGGCACGGGATGACGAGGAGACACGATAAAACACGCGCGACGGGTGGTGCACTGCAGCACCGGACACCGGACAGGGAGGGCATGGTCGGTGGGGATCTGAGCGGACACGCGTCCAGCCACGGGAGCGCACGCACATGTACAACGCACTGGGTAGGAGCTGTCATCACTGATCCAATACGAACAGAAACCTATAAGAAAAATCCAAAATCTGATAGATTCGTTTGAACTTATCAGCACGATGTATCAGCTATAGTATAGTATTTTTTCTTTCATAATAAATCAGCAAACAATATTTTTCAACCTGACTTTTTCAAAGAAACGAACAGGGCAACCTAATTCAAAATAACTGTCAAACCTTTAAAAAAATCGAAGCCCAACCAATAAGTGGATCTAGTTTAGCAATAACAAATTAAGGCTACATGCGAACCCGTTTTTTAAACCCAGACTCTGAACTAAAACACTGTGGCCAATTTACTTGCAAAATGGAAAGAAACCTAATAACTCTACTAAATTCAATCTAATAGTATCCATGATTAATCCCCATCCATTCTTACGGACGTCTAGCCTAGGTCTCTGATACAAACACATACTTTTGAAGCTTCTTTTTCGAAAATCTGAAGCTTGTCGCATCCAGTGCCATCCAGAGCTCATGTTTTGGCGCACTTTTATCACGAAATGTTGAAATTCCAAATTTTTCTAAGTTAATTCATACGAAAAAATAAGAAAATTCAGCTCCATACGCGCGCGGTATGCCCCATAGTACTGGGTGACAAATTTTAGATTGGTTCCGAGTAGCTGCTCCGTTGCTCCCTGGCCACGCGGTCTGTTTCACGTCAAGCTTCCCCCGCACGCCTGGGCTCCCTCCCTCCTCGCGGTTTCCCTTTTCGTTCCCGCGCGCCTGCCTGCTAGAGCTGGGACCTGGGCAGTGCCATTTAAACCGGGTTATGGCACGTTTTTTTTAATGACCCGAAGCACAGTGACACGGCGTGACACGAACACGAGGGCTGTGTCGTGCCTAGGATCTTGGCACGGCGAGCTACATAGCCTAGCCCATATTTTAGACCGTGCTTGGGCCAGCAGGGCACAAAAATAGCACGTAGATACTTCTACAATTATACAATGTAATTTTTTAGTATTTACTCTACTACCTCTCATCTAATTCTTGAATAGATTATGAAAAACATTAAAACTTTCATTAAAATAGTACACACAAGATAAATACATTTCATATCATAAGTGAAAAAAGAAAATTAGCATAGATATTTTAAGGGTCGTGCTTGGGCCGGCACGACCCAAGGACGCGCCGACGCAGCCAAAGAAAAGATTCACCGTGACATATGAGCCTCGCCCAACGTGCCTTCCGTGTCTAGAGGGTATAACCCCAAACGGCACGAAGCACTGAGGCACGGCCCAAGTCCCACATCCGTACCTGCCTGCCTGCCACGGCCGCGCGCACGCGGGACGGCGGGAGACGGGACGCGAGTACGCGGCACGGCGTACTAGCGCAGCCACACGGATTGTCAGTTGTCGCCTGCTCAGCTCAGTCACTGCCATATTTCCCAGCAACCCACTGCATAAATACAGACAACCCGAGGCCGCCCGCGCGCTCCCTCCAGAGTCCAGACACAAGCAAAGCAAGCACAGAGCGAGCGCGGCGACGCCGTTACGCAACGCAAGCACGCAACGCAACAAGGAGCTAGGCGCTCATCGATCGAAGAGCTAGCACTACGCTCCGCCATCGACGCTCGCAGGCGTCCTCGCTTGGTTTGGTTCCTCGCCGCGCGCGTCCTCGTCGTCGGGCGACCGCTCTCGGCATTCTCTCTATCTGATTGCTGCGGATTGGAGGCTTTCGAGCTCCCGGAGGCCGGAGCGGTTCATGGCCGTGGCGGAGCGGTTCGGAACTCGGTGTCCGCCGTCTCGCTTCTTCTTAGTCGCGGTGCTCCTCGTCCTGCTGACAGGTGAGCCTACCTCGCAACCTGTTGTGTGTTTTCCTCTACCCCAATCGCCAGTGTGAGAGCTTTTATTTCCCTTGTATGTACTGTAAATTCCAGTTTTCCCCCTCGAAATCTAAGGTCTAAATTGAGGGATCGAACTCAATATCTTAGAATTCGTCTTGGGGCGCCGTTACGTGATACAAAAAAAAAAAGGAGTTGAATTGTCTTTTTCTTCCTGACATTTGATTTGTATGAGGCTCTGAATGGCCTGAATTTGAACTGCGCTAGTCTGCAGGTCGAGTTAGTTGTCATTTACTCCCAATGAATTGTTTCGTGCTAGCCTCCTATTTTGTTTCTTTCTCAAGTGTTTTTTATCTCACGTACCGTACGTATTGCATTGTCTAGCTAGTAGTAGTTCATACTACTATATCAATATAATCTTGAAATGTTTAGTTTAATCATGCATGGTACTTCTTCATATTTACTTTTTATTCCATTTAAATGATGTATATACTTTGGTATTTCACAAGTATGATCTGTTCCTATACTTGGCCTCACCAGGTAATGGTTCATGACGCATGCATGCAGCATCTATACTTCTTTTCTTATAGATTATACGTTTTTGCTAAATGGTGGTTAATAGGCGTACTTGCTGAGATTATCTTATCCAAGCTTAGCTGATATATAGTGTGTGAGATCACATGGTCCCGAAGTGTTTTAGGACGTAAGGCAGGCCGCCCACTAAGACGGCATCTCCCAAACCGATTCTAATCGGAGTTCCTTTTGATTCCTCAAAAAAAAAATCGGTATTTACCTAAGAAATGGACCAATTTGCTGCCTTTTCGAGCCAATTTGACGTGCATCTGATCTGGTTCTGAGCTGTCACGACTTTTGGCTTAAAGTTTCCTCTGGAAGGATGCATGGTTTGCTTCGTCCCTAGTCGCCAGCTAAATGTGATGGCCTTTTTGATCAGTTGTGGCCATTTGAATACAGATACGAGTATTATAAAATAAGGAGGTGTTTGATGACGTTGGTGGTATTTATTTATCGGGCTGATTCTCGACCTGATTCCCCAATCACATGACCACATGTGGACCACGCTCAACTCTCATTGGATCCTCTGCATGCATATTCTAGTAGTTAACTGTGTACGATTTTGTCCCGCAAAGATGCAGCTATATTTGATTGTTTATTTTAAAAAAAATTGAGCCACTGACGAGACGCTTGCATTGGATTGCAGATGGCGGAGTGGCGTGGAGGAGAGGAGCTGAAGCCCTGTCGATCGGCATCAACTACGGGCAGATCGGAGACAACCTGCCCTCCCCGTCGAGGGTGTCGTACCTGCTCCAGTCGATGCAGGTGAGCAAGGTGAAGCTGTACGACGCGGACCCGACCGTGCTCTCCGCGTTCCTCGACACGGACGTGGAGTTCGTGGTGGGCATCGGCAACGAGAACGTGTCGGCGATGGCGGCGGACCCGTCCGCGGCGCGGGCGTGGGTGCAGCGCCACGTGCAGCCGTACCTCCTCACCGGCACGCGGCGCATCACCTGCATCACCGTCGGCAACGAGGTGCTCAAGGGCAACGACACGGCGCTCAAGGCCAGCCTCCTCCCCGCCATGCAGTCCGTGTACGGCGCGCTCGCCGCGCTGGGCCTGCAGGGCCGCGTGAACGTCACCACGGCGCACTCCCTGGACATCATGGGCACCTCGTACCCGCCCTCCGCGGGCGCGTTCGCGCCCGACGCCGTGCCCTACGTGCAGCCGCTGCTGGGGTTCCTGTCCATGGCCAGGTCCCCGTTCCTCATCAACTGCTACCCGTACTTCGCGTACAAGGCGGACCCGGGCAACGTGCCGCTGGAGTACGTCCTGTTCCAGCCCAACGCCGGCGTCACCGACGCCAACACCAGGCTCAACTACGACAACATGCTGTACGCCCAGGTGGACTCGGTGTACGCCGCGATCCAGGCGCTGGGGCACACCGACGTCGACGTCAAGATCTCCGAGACCGGGTGGCCGTCCAGGGGAGACCCCGACGAGGCGGGCGCCACGCCGGAGTACGCCGGGACGTACATCGGGAACCTCCTGCAGAGGATCGAGATGAAGCAGGGCACGCCGCTGAGGCCGTCGGTGCCCATCGACGTCTACGTCTTCGCGCTCTTCAATGAGAACCTCAAGCCCGGGCCGGCCTCCGAGCGGAACTACGGCCTGTTCTACCCTGACGGCACGCCGGTGTACAACGTCGGCCTGAGGGGCTACCTTCCACCCATGGATTTTTCACGAGGCACCCAAAAGGTACGATCCCTTTCCCTTGGTCGAATTCGGCAAATTGGTTACAAGCTTTCTACATGTGATGCGCAGATTAACTGATTAGGTTCGTATATGGGTGGATGAAGGCAAGTCTAATTCTTGGCCGTGCACACCTCTGCATGCTCATTCCCATCACATTGCTTTCATTCTTTTTCACATGATAGTGAGTTAATTAGTGACAATGGCAATGAAATGGCGATAAAACTCTGCACTAACGGTCAAAAAAAGTGACCTTTCAAAGAAAAAAAAAGGTCAAAAAAAGAGGATGTTGATGCATCTGCATTGCCGGGCAAAGTTTCCATACCATACCATCTGTGCTCTCTTTTGCAAACTAACTGGGTATCACTTTTGGTGTTCTGCAGGCGGTTCGTTTGTTTGCCTTCATCCTCATAGCCATTGCATCGATCACTCTCAGCATCTCCTGAGAGCATATACGGTTGACCATTGTGGTAATGCTAATGAAGAAAGCGCGGAGGAGATTGAGGATCTCTTGCAAGTTGCAACTAGGATTCCAGTAGCAGATATAACAAGGTAAGAGTCTTATCCTGGACCAAGATCGTAATGAAATGAAATTGTCACAAAATTAGGCTATGAGGCTGTTCTTTTTATGTTGGTAGCAAAAAAACAAAAACTTCTGTTACCATGAATACTACTTTTACATAGTGGCTTTTTTTGCTGGCCTTATTCTTTATTACATAGTGTCCTTGCTAAGAATAATTTCTGAAACCTGCTTTGGCATGTCATGGGAAGAATAGAAATGGTCTTGTACGACGCCACAAACTCTTGTGAACTAATGAATTTTAGATTCTATGTTGGACAAAAGTAGCGATTTAGTCAAGCTTGAACAACCATTTGCTAGGAGCATAAGCTTGTAGAAATCTTATTGATTCTTTTCTCCTATATATGCAGTAATGAAGTCCTCGGATAACTAACTAAGTCGACATGTTCCATCAGGGAAGGTTTAGAAGCAGAAAATTGTCTCGGGCTTACACGGCCAGCCAAAACAGTTGAAGTGATTTTGATGGCATCCAGTAGCCAAAATTGGCTCCACACTGACAATGAAGTGGAACTGACTGAAGATTGGGGACGATACGCGGCCAATGCACATATTGTTAGATAGGATTTTCTATTTTATTTATTCTGGGGATGTCTTCTTTATGCAACTTATCAGCAACTGTATATTTGTATATCGGTTAAACAGATAGGAAATTAATTCAGGTCAAGGCTGGCCATTTTTACTAGTTTTCTTTATTTCTGATTGTTCTTTTGTTTCTTTTTTCCCTTTATTGTAAACTCTGACAACAGTAACGAATCTGTAGAATGAAAGTTTAGGGGGTCGAAAGTTTTCATCTTCAACCTTCAGCCTCTCCTCCTCAAAGTAATCATAGCAAAAATTCTTAGAGGAGCTCTAGGAGGCTCCATGGGATTAACGGCGGTAGTGAGGCTTGTGCCCCCCACCATGGCAAAAAAAAATGCAGTGTGATCTCACTACTCCTCTAAGTGTCAAAAAGAGCATCACCCTTCTCTACGCAATTATGTTTACGTAATTTATGTAGCAGGTGAGGAAAAATGAGGGCAGTGAAACATGAGTGCCGTTTGCACCCGTGGCTTCTCCGGGTATAGGACTTGGGTGAAGTGTTGAAACAAAGCAATGAAAACTCCTGCGGAGTATGGTATGACATGCCAAGCTTTGATGACGAGGAAGGGCAGTGGTATTTGAGGTATAGCTGGGACTCCTCCTTCAAAAGCAACGAAGCGAGGGCGATTGTAGCGATCGTCGATCACCCATATTGCAAGGCCAACTACCTCGGGGGCCGAAAGTTTATCTTCGACCTTCAGCCTCTCCTCCTCAAAGCAACAACGGCAAAAAAAATTCTTAGAGGGGCTGGGCTCCATGGGATCAGCGGCGATAGGGGGGCTTGAGCCCCCACCCCCCCCCCACCCCTACCACTAGATCCGCCCCTGTCTGACAACACATTGATGAACATAAAAATGGTGTGCCACAAGAGCGACAACAATCTTGTCTAAACATGGAGCTCCACTTCGAACTTTAAGTACAGATTTTCGATGAAGACCGAGCGCTATTTAGTGCAGCCACTATAGTTAACTTAGGGGTGGTCGCATGGCGCCCTTCTGGACCTCGCGCTGTCTACATGGTTGAGGCATTGGCCGTGCGCTTAGCACAACAAGGGAAAGAACCAAACGGTGGCGAATGCTATTACCAGCAGCCGATGGATTACTGACATTGATCTGTTAGATTGATCTCCTAACCAATAAGCCCAACGGCTTATTGGGCCTTGGTCACGCGCCCTGATCGGGGGCGCCCAACCCTACATGGTTGGTGGGCCCCCGTCGCACTGCGCTATATAAAGAGGTGGGGGCCGGCGGCTCAAAGCACGAGGTTCGCCGTGAGCCGCAAACCCCACCGACAAAACCCTAGACCGATCTAAGAGGGTGCGCAAGCCAGCGACGGGAAGCTCTGCTGACCCTCGCCCTCGTCATTGCTACGCCCCGTCTGCACTGCATCGACGTCCGTGCAACCTCTACTCCACCCGTCGCTGCCCGTGTGCTGCCTCCATCACCGAACCAGCGATGGCCAGCACAACCGCGACTTCATCTGAAGGCTCAGGTTCATCACCAGCACCTCTCTACCCTATCTCCCTCACGGTGTAGTGTTCTAGGTCTAAATGTGCATGTGCTTCACGGATCCAAGTGTTTATTCCCCTAGATCTACCCTAGTCGATCCACAGAATGTTAACAATGGTACCAGAGCCTTTTTTCTAGCGGTAGATCTGGATCGGGGAAAGAAAGAAATCGAACCCTAATCCTCAATCGGGTACGGGAAAAGTGAGAACAGTTTGAGACATGGTCTCGACATCCTAACCCGCTCGGTGATTGACTGAGAAGGGAAAAGAACCGATTTCAAATCGGGGGGAAGAAGAAAACAGTTTCATCCCCAATCCTAACCCTAACCCTAATCGGGAAATCGTGCAAAATCCGAATCAAAGAAACCGGAAAGGATCCCGATCTCGGATCAGATCAGAAAGAACCCTAACCCTAGATTGGGTTTTGGGGAAGGAAAAGATGAAGAGGGGAACCTACCCGGTCCTCCCGACACCGCCGTCGCGCGGAAAGCCACCACCGTGCTGGCGGTGATCACCGCCGCCATGGTTGGCGAGCGGACAGAGGCCCGGCTCGGCCGTGGCTCAGGACAGCGGTCCAAAGCCGCTCGACGGCGGCGCGCTCTGCCATGGGCGAGCGCGCGCACCGGCGAGGGGCTTGGCACCGGTGTCGTCCTCACTTCTTCTCCGGTGACGAGGTGGCCACGCGCTCCCTTCGTCTTCGCTACCGTCGCCGTGGGAGAGGAGAGGAGAAAGAGAAATGGTCTAGGGTTTTTCGGGCGCGGCCGGGTTTTTGATGCCGAGTCTGGCGCTCCACCGCTCGATCGAGACGGACGGCCACGAGCGACTGGGCCAGCGCCGCAGCCCCAGCGAGGAAAAGGGCGAGATCAGCCCGGCCAGCCCTGTGCCCGTGCCCTGTGGCAGCGAAATGGGCGCTGGACTGAGCGGATGGGATGGAGCTGTGGTGAGCGAGGCTTGTGGTTGTGCAGCAAAGAGTGTCGTGGGCCGTGGTGGCAGCGATGTCTTTGGGCTGGGCGAAATGGCCTAATGAATAGAAATAGCTCAAAGTTTTTCTTTTATTTTTCCAGAAATATATATTTTTGATGAATTTCAATTGGAAGTTGATGCAAATCTTTGTGCAATTTTTATCCAACGATAATTTTGTTCAGAGAACAGTGCAATATTTAAGAGTTTCTGAAAAAATAATTATGGGCATATTTAAATTTTCCGCTGCGTATTTAAAGTAATTATGGACTTTTAATTAAATTCGAACCAACGGGAGAATTTGATTTTAAGAGCCAAGAGATAAATATGAGTTAATTATGATATTGTTATTTTCTGACCAACGTTGTTAATATCAATATTATAATTTTAATGATTATGCATTATTTCTATTTCTGCCCAACGGTGATGTAGATTTAATGTATAAAATAATTGTATATTTTAATTTTGACCAACGTTAAACTAAGGCATGCAATTATTGTTGTTATTTCTGTTCTCACACTATTTGAATTGTAAGCCAGGAGGATACAACTTAATGAGTTGTATCAAAGAGATTCCACTCTAAAAGGTGATAACTATATTGAGTGGAAGAAAAAGATAGACTGGCCTTTATCCTCATTTGAGGTGGATTTGGTTGTCACCACACCGTGCCCAGAGAAACTGTGGCACCGGTGAGAGACCTGATGAGACCGATCTTTGCATGGCGAGAATAGAGAGCGGGATTTTGCTCCGTAAAGATATCCTATGACCTTGAGCATAAGAAATGAGTCACCGCCAACAAGAAGCGTTTGGCGGTGATAAAGAACACAATTGAGCTCGCTATTGTGGGCTCAATTCTGCATCGTGACACGGTCTGAGTACCTAGATAGAATAAAGAGTCAGTTCCTTTCGCTCTTCAAAAATATATGCAACCCGGTGATCAAGCATTTGGTTATAAAAAAGGTACTGGTGGTGCAAAGTGGCATTAGAGAGCACATATCCGAGAATGAGCAATCGGCATCTAAGCTCAAACCAATGGATTTGGCACTCAAGGATGAGTTTCTTATTCATTTGATTTTTGCTTCTTTGCCCAAAGAATTTGACAACTTTGTTGTTAATTACAACATCTGACTGAAAAATGGGATTTAGAAAAGCTCATAGCCATGTGTGTGCAGGAGGAGGAAAGAATAAAAGTTTCACAAGGTGGTTCAGTCAACTACCTAAAAGATAAGAAAAAGAACTATTATAACAGCTCTTCCTCCAAGTCATCTGGAAAAGGTTCCATGCAACAGTCTCAGAATCAGCAATTCCCGGTGGCTAAAGACCGTGTGTCTCCTTTGAAGAAGACGGGACATTATAAAAAGAAGCTGTCCCGATTTCCTAAAGATGATAATGAAGAATAAAGGTGAGAACATTATTACGTTCAGTAAATGAATCCTTGTATGTAAAGTTTTCAAAATCTGCTTGGTGGATTGATTAGGGTGCAACTATTCATGTTGCTAATTCATTCTGAGGATTCCGTTCGATGAGAACTTTGCAAAGAAGCGAAAGTTTCATTAAAGTCGCAAATGGAGTACAAGCGAAGTTGAGGCCGTTGGAGATCTTCCTCTAGAGCTTCCAGATGGCTTTATACTTTTTCTTAGAGATGTTCTTTATGTACCTTCTTTGCAAAGAAACCTGATTAGTGTATCAAAGTTGGACCATGATGGTTATGATTGCCATTTTGGAAATGGCAAATGTCAGATATTGTTTAATAATAAATGTGTTGGTCTTGCCTTCCGACAAGACGAGCTTTATTTGTTATCACTTCGTGAAAATGTGAATTCCGTATGTGATGTGAATGAAAATGTATCCTCATCGAACAATGGAAATAGAAAACGAAAGAGAGCTCACGATGCGTTGTCGAAATTATGGCTTGTCGTTTAGGCCGCATTTGAGGGGAGAATAGAAAGACTAGTTAAGAATAATATTCTTCCTTCATTAGAGCTCTCAGAGTTAGAACAATGTAGAGATTGCATAAAAGGAAAGTATGTAAAGAAAATTAAGAAAGATGCCAAACGAAGCGCAGGAATTCTACAGATTATTCACACAGACATATGTGGTCCTTTTCCTGTGAAAAGTGTGGATGGTTATGATTCATTCATAACATTCACAGACGATTACTCTCGTTTTGGCAATATTTATCCAATTAAAGAAAGAACAGAAGCGTTGGATAAATTCAAAATATTTAAAGCAGAAGTTGAAAATCAACATGATTTAAAGATTAAGATAGTCAGGTCTGACCGTGGAGGAGAGTACTATGGTCGGCATACCCCATATGGACAAG